CAGGAATGGAGCAGTTTGCTTTCTTTCATGGCTTTTCCTTTTTTCCTGCGAAATTGTTGTATCACACTGACTCTTTCTAAAACTCTGGCAGGGGAAAATAAATTGTATTTCTAAGTTGTCTCATCCAGCTAGGACATGCAACAGAAGAACTTCATGTTGGCTTGATTTTAATAGTTCATTGGTACCATTAAAAAAAAAATCCTAGTGCAGACGAAGCTTTGAGCAGTCTGGATGACTTTGAGAGCAAGTTCTAACACTGTGAAAATTTCATCTGGTTGCATTTGGTGCTGTACTTCTGGCTGTGTGTCTAACATAGTTTTGCTGTTAGGGTCCTGTAAGCAATTGTCGTTTGTTCCAGAAATGGCTGAATTTCAGCAGCTGTTGAATTGGTTCCTAGATGGCATGTCATTTGTGGATCAGTTTGCAAAATGTGTATTCCAATTACACTTTCTTATTGAATGTAGATACTAGAAACTAGCTGACTTAGCTGACTAGCAAAGCATTTGTAGTTTGATTCCCAATCCGAGTGGGGGAAGCATGATTTCAGAACCGTCCTTCGCAGAAGGTGTGAATGGATGGATTTTAAAATCACATTATTTTGACATGGGTCTGTGGCTGACGTTCACATTGTGGGGCTTTTAAACAATTTCAATACTTAATTTAGTCCCAAAATCATAAGTGATGCACCGATCAACGAATAGCAAGAATATACACTACACTGTGAAAGTGCTGTCTAGATGGACTTTGAAATCAACACGTTTGTTACTTGCTGAGTGGAGTTTCCCATCATAATCATATGACATGGCCAGCATGAGCTGCTGAGGGATGCTGGGTGAAATCTAAAATGTGGACTTCATGTTTTTGAAGCTACCGGTTGCCAGGATGAACGTGCCACAGAGACCACCTCTTGCTGTGCCCCACAGTGCAGGCACTTGAGGTGAGCTCTGCTCGTGCAGATGAGAAGCAGTGGCCAGAAGGGCGCGGTTTGAGAGGGATTCACCGCTGCAGGGTTTGCTTCCTCTGTCAGCTCAAATAGCACCGTTCAGGGACAAGTGTTCCCCAAGCACTGCAGAACTCACCCTTCCCTCGGCACGTCGGGAAATGAGACAGCAGGGTGGAGAGGGGAGGGATGAACAGGAGTGTGAGATGTTTGGACGACACAGAAGCACTGAGCATTTAAGCTGCTGGATTTGCTAGTGGGGACCAGTTGATTATGAAAATTATATGGCTATGCTTAGATAGCTTTGCTCTTCTGAGGTGCTGAGTAGTATGCAGAAGAGTGAAGTAGGGAAGGGGAAAAATGACCCAAAATGTTTGCAGTAAGACAGAGTATGAATCCTCTGTAGCTTCCATAGTAACATGCAATCCCATACAAAACCAACCCAAACACAAAAGTCCTTGACTTCTTGCCTGGAAAACAGAGGAAACACAGAATATTCATTAAAACACTTTTCTTATAAAAAGTGTTAATTGGAACATCCATTTCTTGGGTGTTTCACCACCACTGTCCTCTCTAGGACCATTAGTCACTCCCAACCTTATTGACTCTCTTAGCAAGCTGCACTAGACTTCGAATGCTGTAAACTTTCCAAGTAACTTGGATCTTTTTTTTCCTGGCTCCTCGCATAACTAGGTGTTTCATTTACATATGCTTGGCCTGAAAGACATTTCTGCTTCCTCTGAAGGTCAGTTCAGATACATTTATATGCCAGTGTTCTGCCTGTAGACTTACGATGGATCCAGGAAAATGTTCCTTAACTTTGAAAAGACTTCCTCTTTGGCTTTCTGGAATGCTAAAATGCTATGACTTTTATGATACCTTGCAGAAATTCTAAGTAATGTATTTGTCTGCCGTGAGTGGTTGTATTGAGGAAGAAAAACCTGCCTGGAGAGCCCTCAGTATTCTGCCTCAAGGTCAGTGTGAGGTTTTTTTCCGGAGCCCTTGTTTATCTCCCTTCTAGCACTCCTACCATTTTACCTGCTTCAAATATCCTCAGAAATAGTAACACTTAGCAGAGGCTGGAAAGATGTGTTTTGGGCTTAAAAAAAAAGGAAATAGCCTGCCAGGCAATGACACGGTCCTTCTTCAGAATGTATCCCGTACGCCTTGCTCTTGCCAAGATCATTTAAATGTGGTAGCAGCTACAGTAGGAAACTTGCCATGCTTATAAATAAACAAAACAACTACACCGCCCTACTGAGCTTGCTGAGCATTCAGGAGCTCGGTCAAGAGTGAGTTTTGTGTCAACACTGGCAGCCAGCAGGATTTCTGAGGCAGAAAAGCAGCTTTGTTTCCCTTTGGAAGCGTCGACTAGTTTTGAACATTTTGTCTCTGGAATAAGATTACCACTTCTCAGTGAAAACTTCTGTAGGAGCAATGACAGTAAATCTTGCTTTTCACTTGGAAACCACTGTGAAAACATGATCTTCTGAAATCTTTTGCTGAGAAATTAGTTTGGGATATTTTTCTTGGGTTGTTGGACTGGGTTTTTTTTTCTCCCTAGCAGGTTTGTTGACTTGTTTCAAGCATTGAAGATTTATTGTTGTCTGAAATGTTTTCAGTCTTTTGTTTTGTTTTCTACACTTTTAATTAAGTGTCTTCGCCCAGCCTGGTTATGTACTGAGGTCCTGGGGGAGCAGCTCTGTGCTGCTGCCTGTCAACAGGAACCTGCTGTTAGGAAGCTGACACAAAGTTCATTTTTCAGTCCCATAGGACCCCAAGGAAACTGTTGCTGGTTCACCTACACTTCAAAGTGACAGTCAGCCCTGTATTTCTGAATATTTCCTGGGGTTAAAAATCTGCAAAAGCACATCGAATCTGAGTTGCCAGTTTTATATTCATGCCACTTTGAACATAAGTTAGGGTCATTTATTGAGTTTTTTTACTTGGAGTGTATCAAAAGTGTCATGCTGGCATCTCTAGGAATCGGCAAAGCTGAGACCAGGACTCCCACAGAAGGATATGAAGTCATTAGTTCATGTTTTCATTACATCTCAGCTGGATTTTTGTAATTCCTTTTATAGGCCGTAGAGTCTGTGTACGGGTAGCATCGCTATCAAGGAGCTAAAGCATGTATTTGATCGCCTCGTCTTCACACAAGACAGCAGCATGGCACCGTTTTCACTTGCTCTCCATCCTTAAGGAGCTGCCAACAGAAGTCTCAGGGTCAAGGCACTAACTAATGATAGTAAAAGGTTGTTTTCCCTAGGGAATACTGTCACATCAATACGGGAGACGAAGAAACGAAAACATCCAATGTGATGCAATCATTTGTAGGCAGAGGCTAAGCCTGACCGTGACTGGTGCAGTGAGAGGAGAGATTTCTCTTTGTCTAGCCAAACCACACAACCATAACGCTATTATCATCACGTGAGATCACTTAGATTCTAATCCAAATTCAGGTATGCTTTGTACCAGTGGTGGAAATCAGTTGATGTCAATACAGGGTTTCCAAATGTCTTTCTTCCTGGGAAACACTTTCTTTCAAAGTAGTAGAAATGATATCAAATGTAGCTGAAGGGTCACTAGCTGCTTGCCACAAAGCTAACCAGAGCCTCAAAAGCGAAGTATCCCAAGAACAACAGGTCTTATATTTGAAAGACAAAGCCAAAAAGGCTCACTCACTTTGCTTTTATGAGACTGGTGTAATTGATTTGTTACTGCAAGCACAGCAGCATTTTATAGAAGGGTTTGTGCTTGCTCCACAGAAAGCTACTGACAAGGCAGTCCGAAACATCTTATGTGAGGAACTCAGTCCTGAGCTGAACTGAACGGAAAAGACTAAATACAAGTTTAAAGAAAGGATTTCAATTGCTTGGATTTGTGACTCTGAAATACATTCTAGTTATCATGCTTATAAGTAGGAAAATTGATGAAAAATTATTCAAATTTACGTCCTATCTCAA